TTGTTGGATTTCAATTTTAATCCTTTTTGAACTACCAATGAAATATTTTTACCTAAGTATATTAAAGCTATTAATCGAAAAAGTCATAGTTAAAACACACTGTAGCTTAAAGTATAAACGTTTAAATAAAAAAATATGTAAATTTATATAAATATGAATTTTCGATCAAAGTGATTTGTGCTTTAAAATTTAGTTGGCAATATTAAAATAGCAGATATACCTAAAACACATCACACCTTCTGTTTCTATTTTATTCAGTGCTGCGAACTTAAATTTGAAATCACAGCATGTAAGAAAAATAGCTAAAGATACCAAAAATCAAAAACATACACCAAGAATTTTACACCAAGAAGAAAGAATTGTTCCTACGAGTATAATTAAATGTTGAATATGTTTTTTTTTTCTACGACTATTGTAGAATAACAATCTTCTTAGTTACTTTTTAATTACAGAATGCTCACATTTCGTAACATTGGGAGAATATTCTCACACTTATGCAGGGCCGTCCTAAAATATTTTGCGCCCTTGAGCTATTAAAAACAATGCGGCCCTCATAAGAAAATACATGGAAAAAAAGCAAAAGCGGAGAGAAAGTAAGCTTTTACAAAAATTAAAGAGTCAATATCCACGTTGCTCCAGCGATTTGGTAAAGTTCATTATTGGCCTTTAAATGTGTGTCTCAAAAATAAGTTACATTACAAACTTATGTTTTTTTTTAATAAAATCTTTAAAAGCTAACTTTTTATTGATCGATTTTGTTGAGTTTTTGAAATAAATTGTATTTTTTTTCAAACAAAAGTATATTCTTTTTAAAAATTTATTACACAACTAGAACAGCAAATTTTTTTAACTAAAACAAATAAGAAAATTTTTTATTACTGCAAAGCAGAAAGTAAAAACTTTAGAGTAGTTTTTATTGCATTTGAAAAGATGATAAATGTAGAACTTTGTTAAAACTTAAATACTTAATTTAAATGGAATAGCCTATTTTATGTTTTTGGATCTAATTGATTGTTAAATTTTCTATCTAAAACCATACTTTTAAATGGCTTAAATCTCTTAGGGCCATTTTTATAATCAAACCTAAAAGAGCTTTAAATTAAATCTCGTTTAAAATGTGCTGATTACTACGGACTTTTTGCCAAAAATTTCTTATTCTAAACCAACATTATCTTTAAAGTCCCTTTAATTCAATTATGTATCTGACTCTTAAATGCATAATCTGTAGCCCATTTAGCCCTTTAGTTAGGGTGGCCCAGAACTAGTGTTAGAAAAATCACAGGTAGCGCCATCGTGACAGTGGTTAAGATTTCTAAATTCTGGTTTGCGATTTTATTAGTCGTAGAAAAAGTATACTTTGGAAAAGAGTTAATTTTAAAGCTATTGGCAAATTGTAATACTCTAAATATTTGCTGTAAACAGCGATTAAATTTTAAACGACAATCAGTCTTTAAATATAAATGTTTTCTCCTTCTAATTTAAGAATTGTTTTTTCCAATTGGGCTAAAGGCGGCTCTGGTATTTCTGACGCACAGAAGAATGTTGTAAATATTATCAAACTACCCTTGTCAAGACATCTTATTGTGAAGGCTAATCATCAATTACACCATTATTTACCGAAAAATTTTATGGTGTACAACCAAAACGTTCTTGCAATAATCTGAAACTAGTTTAAAATGGCATATTCTAAATTTGTTACAGAATAAACTATTCTAATTTTACATAGAAAATACTTGTTTCTCATGAATCAAATAAGTACCTACCATGTGTTCAATTAAATTTATGTCAAAGTACCTGCGACTTTAAAGTTAAGTTGGCAACAATGAAAGACATAGAGACGGACGCTGCAAAAATACACAATAGTATACTTCTCGTCACGATATTTGAACTGTCGTAAATCTTGAGTCGGGTACCCGAATTACTCTTAACAATAAGACATTAGGGTGGTTGTAAATAACAATATCAGTGAGGATAGAATGCGGCAGCACGTCAGAATGGTCCGGACTTAAAAAAATTTGTTAGTATGTAGGTAATTTAAAAAGTTTTATTTCATTATTTTATTGATATTTATTTAATAAATTATAATAATAATATGCAATAGAGAAATAAAAAACAGCATCAACATAAAATTT